TATATATATATATATGAGTTAATTATCTATATACTATCATCAGTGTAAAGTTTTTCCAATCATATTTTTTAAAGTTATTTATTTTATTATTATTTTATTAAATAAGCAATTGACATGACACTATTAAAAGATATGAAAAAAAAAAATTATAAGGGACCAAAATAGGGTTTTAACCTTTTTTTTAACTTCAATTAAATTGAACTCAACTAGTTCCTAAGCATATGTTAAGTTTGATTTTAATTGTTGCCATTGTGCTATTTTTTATTAATTTAAAAAACACTTCATAAACTTATTTACTCAACTGAAGAAAATAAAAACGAAGGATTAATGCAAATAGATATAAGCTTTTAAACATTTTTTATCCCTGCGAAAGTATGATAATCAGAAGAAAAAAAATGAAGCCATTTTTTTTATTTTTAAAATACAATTAAATAAAGTTGTTTAAACATTTGATGGAGGGTGATACAAGCTGCAGAGAAGAGTTTGGAATTGAAGAATATGCTGAACAAGATGAAAATACAAGGAAAAATATAGATATTTTTAAGCTATTTCTGTTTTTGCTTTAATTTTTGAAACTCGTTTTAAAAATAATTTGAATTTTAAAACCTTAACAGATCTTATACTATAAATTAATTGTTATGTAGTATAAACTTGTCTTAAAAAACAATTTTTAGAACCAAAAAATAAAAAGAGAATTAATGGCTGAAGTGATAGTCGTGAATGTGGGCTATACAGCTAAGTAGGGATGGTAACGGGGTGGGGCGGTTACGAGTTTCATGATACACGTCTTCGTTCTCGCGAGTCAAACATATTCCTGTCACTGTACTCATATCTGTCGAGTATATGATTTTCATCTCCATTCTTGTCCCCGTCGGGTATCAGGTATACCCGTACCCGTACCCATCAATTTTTTTATTTTTTATTTTTTGTAAAAAAATATGATATTTATAAAAAATTTATTATTATATTATAATTATAATTAGGTTATTTCTCTATCTCATATTATAATAAATAATCACACATAAAAAACTATTAAAATTCTTTAATATAATTAAATTAAAAGTGGATATTAAATTAAAAATAGGAACAATAACGGGGACGGGGACGGGGACGGGTACGAGGCGGGTAAGTATATACTCGTACCCGTACCCGATTTAATATATCGGATTTTACCCATATCTGTGTTAGAAAATAAATTTAATAGAACACAAAAAAAAATATTTAGATTTTCCAATAAAACCAATAGAAATTCTATGGTACCCATCTTATTTGAGAGGGTACCGGTACAGTTTTTATATTTTATATGTTTAATAATTTATTTAAATAATATTTATGATATTTTATTCTTTCAATTTTTAAATTATTTAGTCATTTTATTTTATATTTTAATTTTAATAAATTTTTAAGTATATTTTTTTTTGTCTTTTTGTCTTAAATTTTTGAATTTCTATATTGTAATTTTAATAATTTTTTATTTCTACTATTTATTAATTTTTTATAATATTATTGAAATCTTATAATTTTAATCTCTATAATTTTATCTTACTTTTTATTTTATAAGTATAATTTGGATTATTTATTTTATAATTAAATTAATTTTTTTAAATCTTTTATGAATTTACATAGAAAAATGTATTGAAACCCCTCGATCTTTGAGGGTACCGTAGCAACTCCCTAAAACCAATATCAACAACACGATGAATATTATAAAATTAAAACAGAGCAATCAGTAATTTAAAGTTTAGAGAGAAAATAATAGGTTTAGAGTAGCCTGAGTTGAAGCACGCAGAGCGCTATTCTTAGAGAGAAAACGCTCTCACTGCACTGGTAATTTAAAGTCTTATAGTGCGCTCCTCTCCCAAGATACGTCAACCCGTTAGATCATTCGAGTGCAGTGAAAGTTCCTCGAACCAAAGAACACCGCTCCAAAATTATAATTTTGTAGTAGAAATAATATTGAGGGAGAGAGATCAAATGAACTTGTTGTGTGTGTATCTTTCTCTTTTTCTCACGTATTAATATATGTATATAGGCACAATTGGATTCCCTTTTTTCAGCTTCAACAGTACGTGCAACAGTTTTAAAATTTGTTTTGCAAAACTTTCGGAAACAAGTACATGTACTGTGCTAACTAATAGGAAAAGGAAAAAACCGTGAGTCTTGGTCAAGGTGCGACTTTTTTTTTTAATATACCTTTTTTTATTTATTTAAATAACCTAAAGTGAAATATATTTTCCTAAATATACCATTTAGTTTTTTAGGTGAGAAATCGGTTACTGGGTAACCGATTTCTCAAAGGGATTTTTCCAAATTTTTTAAAAATCCCTTTGAGAAATCGGTTACTGGGTAACCGATTTCTCAAAGGCCCTTTTTTTTTCATTTTCTGTTTTTTGTTTTTTATTTTTATTTTTAATTTTTTTTTCTAGATTTGTAATTTTATATTTTTCGTAATTTAATTTTAAATTTTAAGTAACTTTAAATTTTTTTAGTAATTCTAAATAAAATAATTTATTTAAGTTTTTAGAATAAGAATAAATAATGAAATAATTATTAACTAAATAAATAATGAAATAATTATTAACTTAATAAATAATGAAATAAATATGAATTTAAATTAATAAAAAAAGACAATTTTTATTTAAAATAATAGTAAACAAAATACAATATTTAGAAGGTTTGATGACATTTTAAGCTTGATAACTTGAACTCCCTTGACAATAAGGACATTTATTCTTTGAGTGACCTACATTCCTGCAGAGAGAACATCTTCTTGGTTGTCCTGGTTCAACCATATCCATTTCAGTGCGTATTCTGGATGACTTTGGACGACCTTTTTTATTTCTAATCTTTCCCGGATTTGTTATGATTTGCGGTTCTTCAAAACCCAGCCAATAAGATTCATTAGGCAGTTCACCAAATAATTTGTTATACACATTTGAAACATATTATAATGTGCATACCGGATCTATGTAAGATTTATAATCGTGGTGAACATGCTTACATGCAGCAACAACATGGGAGCATGGCATGTGTAGCTTTTGGAATTTTTCACAGTCACACCAGTTGTCATGTAGTCTAACCGTGAAAGTTCCAGTAGGTCGTGTTTCCCTTGGGTTAATGGTCTCTTGCACCAAAAAACGTGTACTGTGACGATCAAATTCGAGGACATGATGAGTATTAGCCTTTGATTCTGCATCTCTCATGGCCCTATTCATTATTTCCGTATAAACTTGGCCAGCCCTAAGTTTAGCATCGACTTCCTTCCCCCTTTGGATGAATAAGGCATTACATCTCTTATAAGTCGACATGATGATTGCAGAAATTGGCAAATTTCTTGTTTTTTTAAGAATGGAGTTAATTGCCTCAGCCAAGTTAGTAGTCATGTGTCCCCATCGTCGGCCACCGTCCCATGCAAGAGTCCATTGTTCTTTTGGTATGGTGTTGAGCCATTCAATTACACCTTCAGTTTCTGGTTTGCTCCTTAGAGTGTTGTAGTAGTAATTGAATCTTGGCTCAGTCATCCCATAAGCTGTGAAATCAGATTAGGAAAAAATGAACAATTTAGTAATGTTGAAATATGGTGAAACAAATTAAAGTAATTAAATGATGCTAAGTACATACCCATATTGATTATTAATTTTTTCCGTTCTGTATTCTTGAAATGTCTCATGAAGTTTTGAGCTATATGGCGAATACATAATACATGCACTGAATTCTCAAGTGTCCAACCACTGCCTTGTTTAGCGTACACATTTTTGATAGACTCGTGTTTGTCCGAAATTAAGCAAAGGTCATCTTGAGGGCAAACATGTCTTTTGAGATAATGTAGAAAGAAAAACCATGCCTCTTCTGTTTCACCCTCAACAATTGCAAAGGCAATTGGAAAGATTTTGTTGTTACTGTCTTCAGCCCCGGCCACAAGGAGAGTTCCTTTGTATTTGCCATACAAGAATGTGCCATCAACTTGAACAATGGGTTTGCAGTATTTGAACCCATCGATACAAGGTTTAAATGTCCAAAATACTCTATGGAATTGAACATAATGATGAACCATCTCACCTTGTTGGTTGTATAGTGGCCTTGTTTGCTTCTCAACAACAAATCCATTAAGAAATCCACTCATGGCACTAAGCAACTTGGGTAAATCATGGTAAGATTGTTCCCAGTTACCATGTAAGTCTTCAATTGCCTTTTGCTTTGCCATCCAAGCTTTGCGGTATGAGATCGTGTACCCTTCAGCACTTTTGATGTGTGCTATTATTGTTGGAATAGAAATGGATGGATCACTCTCCACCAAAGGAAGAATACTTTTGCTAATATATACATAGTCAAGGTTAACATGATCTTGTGTAATAATAGGTGATGAATAAGAATGTTCACCTGATAGCTTACGAAGCTCCCACTTTTGGCTTTTAGTAATAAAAGTCGTTCTGCACCTCCAATCACATGTACTGTTAACACAACGTGCAACAATTAATGTTAGTGACGATTTCTCGACCCTGTAATACAAACCTTTCTTTATATGGTATGCATTTAGAACATGTTGGACTTCCTCCTTTGTGTTGAAAGTCATGCCTTCAAATAGGCTGTCAGGAGAGTACTCGACGTCAACATGGTCAAGTGCATGTCTGTACTTGTTGAGATTTCCGTTGAAGTACTTTTGTTATAATTGAAATTTAGTTTAATTCTATCAACGGTCTCAAACACGGCAAGTATACCGGCCGTTCAAGTAGTAAAAATATCGTATCCACAGGGATTAGAAGGTAATATAAGCATTTATTGACTATTCGTGACTAAAGAATAATTCCAATTTCATAGTTTGTGCAGTGAATTCAAAGTTGTGACTATTGGAATGAAAGCTGTAAATAAATATTGTTTTGTGAGTGGAAAAGGTAAGGAATGGTATTGTGGTATTGTGAGGTTGTGGGGGTCAGATTTCACCAAACGTAACACTAATGTATCCTTAATCTCTTGTTGAATTCATTGCTTAGTCAACCCATAAGTTTACTCAAACCTAATCCCTTAGAGAAAGAGCCTAGGTGCGGATATTGAATATCAATCCCTTGAGTACCCAATATCTACACCCGCATTACGGGCTAGGGTTTAAGACTACTAATGGGTCAAGCTCTATCCCTAGATACAATCACCACTAGGCATATGTTTCAGAACTAGTTTCAAAGGTTATTTTCCAATACCCATGGAACCTTAAATCATGCAAAGGGTGATCAATCCAAAGCAAGCATTAAGAATAGAAACAAACACAACAAAGAATAAAACAACATGTATATATATCATTAAAACCGTAAAGATTACAATAGAGTACGTTGGTTACATCTAACCCCACAAAATGGGTGAAACCACTCAACAAAGAGGGCAAATACAAAATAGAGATGGAAGAGGAAGTGAAGAACCGAAGGAAAGATCCGCACACGGACGATCCCAAGCCCTGGGAATCCCTTCCGCAGCTCCTGGAGGCGCCCAATGTGAGAATGGGGGTTTCTCCCCCGAAAATGGCTTCAAATACGAGCTTGGGGAGTCAGATTAGGGTTTCGCGCCCGGCGCATAAGTCTTCGCGCCCGGCGCGGGGCCTTCCAGATACTCTCTGCCTTAGGACAAGCCCGGCGCAATTCACATTACGCCCGGCGCAATGGCTCCCAGAGGTGAGATACTCTGTTTTGCTCGCCTGGCGCGGATCACCTTGCGCCCGGCGCAGAACCTCTTCTCTGCTCCTTAGCTTCTTAGATTTCCAATCCTAAGAGTCTTCAACTTTCCACTCTTCCTCAATACCTGCACAAAAAATGAGGTGGATTAAGGTATTGTTAGATGAATTTGGGTTAGTTATATCTGCACACAAAATGAACCAAAAAGAGAACAATTATATTGCAATGGTTCAAAGGATGAGTGGAATTTGTTCAATAAGTCTCATCCAAAAAGAGGTAAAATTGAGACTTAACAGTACTCTAGGTCGGTGAAATCTGTTTTCAAATCAACATTATGCATGTGTGAAGGAAAACTGAATGTGCTTACGTGCTGAGATTGTTGTACAACACAATCCTGTTTGCATCATCTTCCCCCTCACTGAAAGGACCAACTTCTTCTTCAGGAACTCCAACTTCAGGGACTCCTTCCTGTTGTTCTTCTTGTTGGACTCCAGATGTTAGGAGGTTGGTAAATGATCCATGTGTATGAAAATCGTCTAATGATGGTTGGTTTTGATGATAAAAATGTTGGTTTTGATGGGAAGAAGGTTCGTTGTGATATGAAGAAGGTTGGTTGTGATATGAAGAAGGTTGGGTTTCATAAAAAAAAGGTTGGTTTTCATACGAAGAAGGTTGGCTGTGATAGATAGAAGGTTGGTTTTCATAGGTAGAAGGTTGGTTTTCTTCTTTAGAAATAATTGGTGTGAGATCTGCATATAGTTGAGCAGAAGTTAGATGTTTAAGGGAACAAATCATTTGAATCATACCATGAACATCTTCATCGTCGGTAAGCTTGACAGCCCGGAAATGAAGCATTCCTTCGCCTACCACTTGTGGATACCGAAAGTAAAGTTGATCAACTGAATGTAGTTGTGGTAATGAAATTCTTCTTTGGATCTTAGCTTTCAACGCATCAAGTGTGATACGTGATCTAATTGATAAAAATATTGGGTCAGAGGATACAAAAGTATCCCCTTGATTTGTTTGAGTGATTTCACCATTGAAAAAGACTAACACATTGAAAGAAGAGGAAGACATTGTTGTAGACAAAGACTAACACACAGAAACAACAAAGCTTAGCTCAATTGCACTTTGCATTTGAACCCAACATTCGTATCATTTAAATAAAAGATGGAGTTAGGAGTCAATCAATTACATTCAACAACCGTAAACAATGCATTCATGACTCTGCACAAAGCATTGATTTTTCTGACGCTGTAGGATAAAGCATTCATGACACTGCATCAATGACACCCTGCACAAAGCAATAACTTTTCTGACGCTCTGGTACAAAGCATTCATGCCTCTGCACAAAGTAATAACTTTTCTGACGCTCTGGGACAAAGCATTGATGACACACTGTATCAATGACACACTGCATCAATGACACCCTGCACAAAGCAATAACTTTTCTGACGCTCTGGTACAAAGCATTCATGCCTCTGCACAAAGCAATAACTTTTCTGACGCTCTAGGACAAAGCATTGATGACACACTGCATCAATGACACACTGCATTAATGACACATTGCATCAATGACACTCTGCACAAAGCATTCATTTTTCTGACGCTCTGGGACAAAGCATTGATGACTCTGCATCAACCATTGATTTTTTCCACTATATATACACTACATACGATCCAACCCTAAACACACAACAAAAGATCATTTCTCTTCAGCTATTGCAGTATTGAATTTCGTTGCTATTGTTCTTCAAGAATGTCTTCTTCGTCTTCAACTATGTTGTGGAAACAACACCTCTATAGGTCAAATGAAACTCATCTTATGGTAAGTTATTATACATTGCATAATGTTTACAACTAATATTATCTTTTACTAACATTTCAATTCTACCATTTTCGTAGACAACAAGTGATCAAGTCATTCAATCTTACTATCATTCCATGCCTACACCTGACCCAAGAATTGAGAATTTGTTGGAGTTTGCTGGCTTTGCCGAGGTTGCGAAAATAAGATATTTTAAAATCGATGATTGTTTGATAACGTCTTTGGTGGAGAGGTGGAGACCTGAGACACATACTTTTCACTTCCCAGTTGGTGAGTGCACGGTGACTTTGGAAGATGTGGCACTACAATTGGGTTTAAGGATTGACGGTAAACCAGTAACAGGACCAACTTTCTTTGACTGGGATGAATTATGTTACGAGTTGTTAGGCTTCGTACCTCCAAAAGGGGAAGCTCTAGTTGGCTCAACCATAAAACTCAAATGGTTAAGAGACCATACAATTGCACTACCAGATGAACCCACTCAACAACAATTGCTTCAACATTGTCGAACATATATTTTAGGGTTGATCGGTGGTGTCATTATGCCAGACAAGTCAGGTAATAGAATTCACTTAATGTATTTACCATTATTGACTGACTTGGAACGTGCAGGACGATATAGTTGAGGTTCTGTTTATTTGGCACATTTGTATAGAGAATTGTATAGGGCAATCTATCCATCCTCAAAGAAAATAGGTGGATGTTCTTTGCTTCTACAGTCTTGGGCTTGGTATAGAATGCCCTCCATCCAACCAAGAGTCCAACAGGATATTACATTTCTGCTAGCATCGAGGTATGGATTAATATTTATACCACTTTAATACATCGAACAAGTAAAATATTTAACCTAAAATTTTATAATTGTACAAATGTTTTAGGTGGTCAGGAAGAGGGCTAAGATTTTCAGGGATGCCCCATGGATACTTACTTGGCTACAGATTAAGATATGACAACATGAACCATAACGAGGTAATACAATGTAAACTTCTCTCAAACATACTCTCTTATACTCAATTCATTCATACCTTAAACCTTTTTCTTTTACAATTTCTATGGATGCCATATAGGGAATTTCAGTCCTCACTGCCACCGCGTGCTTATAAGGATTCTAGAATATGGACTGCTTGTACTGCTTTAACTTCATTTGCAGTTGTAATCTGGCATCAAACTGATAGAGTCCAATTGCAATTTGGCTTATGGCAACCAATCCCCAACGAAGCTCATAATTTTGATAAAATGCACGACATAGACATGAGAGGACATAGCGACACCAACTGGGCTCAACAACATGCAGACTGGATTTCCATTTGGAAAGACAGACGCAAACATGTTATTTTTGGGGAACCACTTCAGGGGCCTCTCTAACACACTCCGGAGTATTTACAATGATTTCGTGCTAATTCTAAATTATTTCTTTGTAGCCAGTATTCTTCATCTTGTGCATCCACTTCTAGTACGCAACTCCCAACAACAACTGCAACAACATTCCCAATGGCTAGAGATAATCACCCACCTTATAGTGTGGAACAACATCCTCAGTCTTATTCATCATTTCATACACACCATGAACAATTCATGTACACACCACCATCAACAACAACTCCAACAGGTGACTTCATGAGCAATCTTTTCGGCATCGACGTACACACGCCACAAAGTGCATATAATTACATGAAAAACATGAATTTCCCTTCATTTTCGTCTTATCACTCTGAGGTCGGTGGAAGTGGTTCGCCAAATCCAGTCACCGATACTGTTAATATACAACATGACAAAGACCAGGTTGAACCACAACAACCACGCATTGGTCGTCGAACCCCAACAAGGAACCGACAACCTCCGAGGTGTGGAACGGGTGGGCATAGACATCATTAAAGTTGGATTCTAATTTACACCTGGAACCAGAACAGGCCGTTCTGGATGCGCTTTTGATGTGTTAATTTTGTATCGGAAACGGGCCGTTCCAAATGCAAAATTTACACACCAAGAGTACACCAGAACGGTCCGTTCTGAAACCAGAACGGGCCGTTCTAGTTTCAGAACGGCCCGTTCCAAAACTGAGAATAAAATATTATTTATTAATTT